GGGCAGTGGTGGCATGTAGCAGGTACACTGGGGCACTGTACTTGGCCAGGATCTGGGGGCAGTTTTGTCAGGAGAAGCGTGGCTTTGTTTTTCAAGGAGCTTATACTAAGGAAACTATTGAAACATTTCAGATGCAAAAAGTGGTTCTGAGAGCAGATTACAGCATAAGATCTGATCTGCAGTTGCTCTGAGGCTTTGGGCTGCAAAGTGAGTGGAAAAATTTTGTCTGGAGAGTAGCATTTCTTGCACAGGTGTGAAGAGGTTTAAGAGCTTTCAAGTGTTTCAAAAACAGGAGTAGAGTTCCAGCAGCTGAAGAACATCAACAGATTTTTAACAGCATCCCAAGGCAGATGCTCTCTATAACTCCCTAAAAGGAGGCTATAGCGAGGTAGGGGTTGGCCTCTTCTCTCAGGTAATAGTGGTAGGATCAGAGGCAAGGCCTGAAGTTGTACCAGGGAAGGTTCAGGTTGGATATTGAGAAAAATTTCTTCTCAGAAAGAGTGGTGAGGCAGTGGCACAGGCTGCCCAGGGGGATGGTGGAATCACCATCCCTGGAGGTATTCAGGAAATGTGTGGATGTGGCACTGAGGGACGTGGTGGTTGGTGGGCATTTACAACCTTTATGATTTTATGGTTCTGTGTTTTTCATTTGTTTATGTTTCAGTAAACATTGACCACTGCTGACAGACACTTCTAGTGTCCTGTGAATGCCTAATAAGTCTGGCTCCTTTAGTTGCTCTTTACATTTTGAAACAGCAGTGCTGTCCTTCTGCTTCACAAAAAGAGTAGTAGTTGTTCTGTCAAAAGCAGTTCATGACAGCTTCTCTTTGATTTAGGTAAATAACTCATCTGCCAGTATCTAAGAGAAGGAAATATTCTCTTATGTGCTGTTCAGTTTGCTTCAGTTTTTAAGCCCTGCTGACCACAGCTCTCTAGACAGTGTCCTCCTATCTCAAATCCACTCTCTCTGCATGTGGCGAGGCCTGTAACTCGGATGGGATGCTAACAAGCACCTAGGGCTCGTGGTCTTCCTCCCTCCCTAGTGCAGGGCCAAAGGAGAAGATATAGTGGGTATACCATGTGCTACCCCGTGGTTTTACTGTGTGACTGTGGAGATGATATGAGGAGGTGGGATGGAAAGCCCACCTTGATCCAAGAGGGTTGATGCCTCCAGCCAAGGGGAGGAAAGGGAAAATCAGATTCATTGGACTGTGTAGGTTCAATGGCCTGGCACATCAGAACCACAGGATTATAAAGCTCTACTGGACACCAGTGCACAGTGTACTCCAATCTTATCATGTTATAAAGGGACAGAACCCATCTGTATTTCTGAAATGACAGGGGCTCCAGGGCCTTTATACCTGCTTGCATATCATGGTAGTACAGAAGCAAAAAGACCGCATAGAAGGAACACCAAAGTTTGATGAAAATACTGAGCTTCCAGTGTGGAGCATTTTAAGCTGCTTGAAACAAGAGGGAGGTGTGTTCGTGACCTTATGGCTGACCTCCTGTTTTCATTCTCTTGCAGGCGAGAGACCGTACAAATGTCAAACCTGTGAACGGACCTTCACTCTGAAGCACAGCCTGGTTCGTCACCAGCGCATACACCAGAAAGTCAAAAATACTCGAAACCACGGGAAGGAGAGCGACAAGGAGGAGACCCAGTCGAGGTGTGGGGAAGACAGCGAAAATGAGTCTAGCCACAGTGGCACCAACCCCATCTCGGAAAACGAGTGTGACTCCACGGGGGTTGTCGGCAGCCACCCATCCGGCACCAGAAGCCGAAAGGAGTCCCTGGTCGGTGTGGCCAAGGACGTGCCATGTGAAGAGGAGAGGCCAAGCGGGCAAGGAGTCGGTGCCGGCCTCGTGGAGCCCGCCAAGAGCGCACAGAAGCAGCCTGCAAAAGACCAGGAGCCTCGGGGTAGCTCCGAGCTAGAGAGACCGTCGGGTTTCATTCAAGACTTGCTGGAGATGCACAACAAAAAGTCTCCCATGAATCACATTCTTGCCTCTGCAGACAGCACGCCTCAGCTCTTGGGGGTAGAATGACTTGCGAGGAGGCTGGGCCCATCCCAGCACACAAACTGAAGCCAGCAGAGCAAGGTTTCCAGGGTCTCGTTTCAGAAGAGTGACCTACAGCTGTGGGGAGAGTATGGCAGACTGGATGCAGTGCCATATGCCTTTCAGTATAATAATGCAAGAGACTACAGTATATACTGATTTGAGTGCCTTACTACTTTATTAGATCTTTTGGTATCATAGATTTTTTTTTTTTTTTCAAAAATGATTTTTTTTAATATTTTAATGAATTATTTGGAGAGGACCTTTTTCATTTAAGCATTAATGTTACCTTTTGTATTGGTGTGTGTGAGCTTGGTCTTGTATATCTGATAGTCTCTGTGTTTGTTCTCTGAGCTGGAAACGGGGCAGTGGGGTGGGAGGCCCTTGGATACCACAGCCAATAACTGGAAGCAATTTATGTGAATTTCATATGGAACAGTCAGAGGAAACGCAGACGAGATGTCAGTTGTTGTTTTCTCAGTAGATGTTCTCGCATTTGCCACACGGTGGAGCATTAAGCCTGTTCCAGGCATTAGCAGCGTGGCAGCCGAAGGTGTTCAAAGTGGTTGGAGCCAAAAGCAGGAAGTGCAAAGAATTTCAACCTCATACTTGTTTCCACTTTTCAGCGTTAGAAATGGTGTTCTAGATACTAGGGTTTTTCTTCTGGCCGTCGTGGACTGAGTGTGTATACAGAGAAGAGTTACATAGCAACGTAACCTATGGAAATTATGCACCCGCTGTTATATATGTTTGATTTGCTTCAGTATATTATTATTATTATTTTATAATTATTTTATAAATTCATCAGTTTGCTTGTCTCTGCAGTCAGCAGAAACCAATGGGCAATATTTGCCCACGCAGACGTGTAACGCAGCTTGGATCCCCTCTTTACATGTTTTGACTTCAAGCTTTCACCAACTCCTCCTCCTATGTTGCAGCTCTTCTACTGTACTTTAATCAAAACCCTTCCTCTGACCGGAGTGTCAATCAGAGGCCAGCAGGTTGTCATCACAGCCGTGCAGGGAACGCCCCGCTGCTCGTGGTGCACGTGCCCGAGGACGGCCATCTCCGTGCCGTCACCCGGCGGCAGCACGCCTTCCTTCGGAGCCAAGTGACTCAGTCTTCCAGTCGAAAGCGAGCAAGAGAGAAATGCGAGCCTTACCGTCATCTTGCTACTTACTGTCATGTTCTGGAGCAAGAAAATACTACTGGTGATAAAACTACAGATATAAGACATGTTAAAAAAAATAAATTAATTAATTAAATTAAAAAGAAAAAGAAAAGAAAAAAAAAAATAAATAGAAATTCTTCCTGAGATTTTGGGGTTGATGCTTGAAGACTTGAGGTGTGCGTCTAAATTTCATATCAGTAATTTAACCCCTTTAATGCTGGGAGCTGGGATTTCTCCGGATGGCTCCTGTTGCCGGCAACAGGTGCCACTCCAGCAGCCAATGTTGAAGGGGTTAAAGGAAATGTCTCCTACTGTAGCTGCACGCTTCTAGGAGCGGGCGGCGTTTTTGTTGTTGTTGTTCTTGTTGTTGTTGTTTGTTAATTGTCCTTCAGTCATGACCTCTGGGACAGACAGAGCCATAATAGCGATGCCGGAGCCTCACTGTGCTATGCCACCACTCAGCCCCAACCCGCACTGTGATCTCCCCGCCCCGCAGATCCGCTTTTCCTGCTTTCATCAGACATGGAGGACGTGGGCCTCGGACCCATGCTATATTATATAATATATATCTATATATAGCTATATCTATATTAAAAATTCTCCGAAAGTTTCTGGAGACTGAAATGTAACTGTCTGGAATTCAAAGGAAGAGAAACTTTCTTGAGTAATATTCTTGCAGATAGAATAAGAAAAAAATGGTTGAGGTATATGTGATTTCTATTTTTTGCTTTGTTGTTGTTGTTTTTTTTTTTAAATAGGGATGTTTGAACCAGTTCAGAGACGAAGCTAACGCCAGAGAGTCAGTCAGAACCAATGATTCACTAAATTCACTACCCAGGTGCATTCTACTTAATGAAAACCAGTTCACGCATCCCTTAAATCGTTATTACTATTATAATTATAATAATAATTATTATTATTATTTGGGGTATTTTTTTGGTTCTCGTCGTTTGTTTTTTTTTTTTTTTTTTTTTTTTTTTTTTTTTTTTTTTTTTTTTTTTTTTTTTTTTTTGTTTTTTTTTTTTTTTTTTTTTTTTTTTTGTTTTTTTTTTTTTTTTGTTCATTTGTTTCGTTTTTTTTTTTTTTTTTAATTTGTTTTTTGTTGTTTTTGTTTTTGCAACTCTCCACACTAAACTGCGCAATACTGTGGGGGAGAAGCCATTACTAAACTATATGCTGCAGAACGATGTAGCACGTAATGAATTCCCAGCAGCCTGCCGGGACATCTGCTAGCAATAATCACTATTGAGTTAAAGCTTTATTTAGCCTTTATCTGTATCCTAGTAGAGTATAAGGTCTTGCCACATCTTATTGACATTTTTATTAGTTGAGTTTGACTGAGAACTGTTGCTGTTGTTGGGTTTTTTGTTTCCCCTCCTCCCCCAATATTAAACTGTGAAATTTATAATGTGTTTAAACTATGGGTGAATCTTAGGCTTTAGTTTGCATGTTCAGCTAATTTGTCTCTATACGATTTTTGTTTGGATCTTTTTATTTTTTTTTTTTTCCTCTCTCAGGGCTTTTACAAAAAACAAACAAACAAACAGAAAAGGATCTTCTGAAATTCTTTTGCCTGAGTTGCAATGGACTTAACGTGGAGATAATTCAATCACTACATTGAGCACTTGACTGTGAAAGCGCAAAACAAAATAAAGAAAAAAGAAAAAAAAAACTAAAAAAAAAAAAAAAAAACACCTTGTTTGAGGCAATTCTGAAATAACTTTTCGGGGCTTTGTGAGACTGATTCCATTTTCAGAATGATTCGTAATTTTCTCTCTCCTCTGTGTGTCTCCTTTCTCTCTTCTCTCCCCACAAAGGAAGGTTAATCCTAGTGATTTCATCCCATGCAGGAAACAGTAATAAATATGTAGAATTCATATTTTTCTAAAGGGAACTTAAACTGCTGCTACGAATTGTGTACAAGACTGGTTTATGCCACATGAACAGAGAATCACACATTTGTTTTGGTACTTTTATTCCTCTTTTTATTCAGTTGTACAGTACTTCCAAATTCAAAATAAAAGTTGTTCTGTATCAAACCATCTAAGCAATAAAATGTTATATTTAAAAATTAGAGGTTCCAAAACGGACGTGGCTCTTCTTGTGGGTTTGTTGGCACTTGGTTTTGAGCTGGAGGACATTGTGTGAAGCAGAGGTGCCCCGCAGAGCATCATTGCTGTTTCTCTTCCCTTGCTTGAAGTGAGAGCCAGAGGCAACACTTTGGCAACCACATGCATTTGCTGTTCTGTTCTCTGGTAGCCCAAACGCTTTGAAATGGTGCTCTGCTTTGAGGGCATCTTCTTAAAGTAGCAACTGGAAACAGAAGAGACCATGTTGGTGCTGATTATCCCGTGCAGGTGCTGGGTTCCAGTGGTGTGGCCTTCTGTTAGCTGCAGCCACACCTGTGCCTCCAACAGCACGGCACCGTGATGGAGAGGTGCTGGGATCTCTCTGTGTAAATGAAGGAGGTTTCTGCCATCCTGGTTTTGGTTTTGCATAAATGTAGATGGCTGTGAAGTCTTCAAGATGGCAGGGAAGCCACGTGCAATTGTCAAAAAAAGATAAATCCTTTGTTGTAGCTTGTTGGAGCCGCTACATTTTATATGCTTTCATATAAATAAAGTGCATTTCACAGGACGGTGAGGCAAAGAATCATCCGAGTTGCATATCCAGTTCTGAAGTACAGAGCAGCTGGGAACCTGCGTCTCCTTAACTCCTGGTGGGATGAGTCTTTCTGGTGGAGAAGGGAACCAGAGTCAGAGTTATAAACCTAACAGAAGGCACTGCATGCCCTGCTCCTGCCTGCCTTCCTCCAGCCTCTGGCACCCTCATGGCAGCAGTTACAGCTCCCCGTGCACCTATAGTCCTCTGGTGAGGATTCACTAGCTAATACGGACAGGTTTTCTTGTCGGTCAGCACTGCCCCAGCCAGGACATCTGCTGAGGCATACTCCAAATAACCTCTGGGTAGGCCACAGGGATGGAAACAAGATTTCTGAGGGAAGAAAACTGCAGAAGATGAAGTTACTGCTGCACCTCAGGGGCAGCAGCCCCGTGCTTGGTGCAGAGGTTGGGCAGGCCTGAGCCCTCTGCCACCACTGGACTGCACACCCCCGTGTGTATTTACTGATATTGCAGAGCAAACTGGTAAAGGTAAAGAGAGAGGAATCCGATCGTTTGTTCACCATTATCCAGCTGTTGCCCAGCATGGAGCACCTGGCACTTTCTCTGTGTGAAGCAGCCTGAGAAGCTCCAGGTTTTATCATCCTCCCTTGTAATACAGGAAAAGATGAGGATGGAAAAACGCATTGGGGCTTTTAATGAGGATGTGTCTAACTGCTGGACTGCAAAAAAAAAACCAAAAAAAACCCGTGCTACAGTGGTGTCCTCCAGATCTGGGCTACCTGAGTGGCCTGCAGTTGCACCAATTCATGCTTGCAGATCTGGGCTCTGGCCTTTCTCAACATGGCCGACCTGGCATCTTGCCTCAGCTGAGGTCTATTACTGAGGGTGTGATTTTAGTTGAGTGACATCTCCCTCCCCAGGCCTGAAGGGACAATCTGTCCCACACAAGCACCAGGCATTGCTCCTACTTGTCCAGCTGAACCAGACGCTGGTGGCACATGCCTTTGGTCCCATGAAAAGCTACAGACTTGTTTGTCCTGCGGTGTGCACAAGTTTTCTTAGGACTTACTGGAGGATTGTGGGGGCACAGCAGGAGAGGCACTTGAGAGCAGAATTATTCAGTGTTTTAAGGATCTCCAACCAACTGCACCAGGTGCAAGGGCTGCAGCAAGACCAGCCCCAGGTGCTGCCAAGGCCATCAGCATCCCTATTTATTGGAGCAGGTGGAGCCTTTCTCCTGTAACAGCGTGGAGTGCAGTGTTCTGTGCTCTGGCTCATGCTCTTAGTTTACTTTCACAAAGAAATTGTATAGCTTCTGAAGGTTGTAGAGGGCACTGTGAGCCCAAGAAAAAGACAGCCCTTCCCTGAACTCACTCTATTCTAGCTGAGTTCCTGTGACTGAGGGGCTTCCTGCAAAATGTAAGGCCTTAGGCTCTCCCCACAGCTCTTCTACCTTCTTACTGCTGTCTAGCATATGTAATCTCAATGCTCAGCAGATGCAGTAAGGAACCTAGGTCACAGTTTGTGCTACTGGGAGCCACGTGGCTCTTTTGGTAAGGTCTTTTGGTGTGAGGATACTTCCAGCTGCTAGGATCCGTGGCAGTGCTGTGAGGTCAGCATGATGACACCAGGGTATTGGTCTGCTCTGGGACAGTCTGGAGGCCATAAGGTGACGGAGGCTGTTGCACACAATGGGATACTGTGGGACTGCCATCTGCTTTGCTACTGCTGGTTGCCTGTAATCTCAGGTAAGTGATGCTTATGTACATATGCGCATTATGGTGTTGATGGGATGCCTAACAGGGGAATGCTGACTTGAATTTTCTGGGGAAGTGAAACATGGCAGAAAGCCTTGTGGCAATCCTCCAAGCAGCAAGAACTAGAAACAGCTTTCTCCTTTGCTGTGCTTGCTTATTTCTCTTCTGCCAGATTTGTGTCTTACTAAAGCTGCCAGTAATGCACGAGGAAACCCTGTATGATGGTCATTTGGAGTGTGCTATTGTGAAATTATTTGAGCTCCTCTAGGGCCTTTCAGCAAGGAGTTGTGAAGTAGTTTACAAACGTCAATGCTTGGTATGTTCTAAGAGAGAAGCTTGCTGGAGAAATGGCTTCTCATTGTTGAAGGCCAACCTGTGCTCACAGTCTCGGGGCCAGTGGTTAATGTGGTTGAGGCGAGTGTTGCTGTAGCCATGCTAGTAGTATGCTATGGGAAGGTTGGGACAAAATGTGCCTTGTCACCAAGCATTGTGGCTAACAGTTGAAGTGGCAGCAACAAGGGGAACAGCAAAATATGTTCATTTATAGTGTGCATTCACAAAAACACTTCTTATCGTGTGTTACACAGAACCAGCAGCTCCTCCCCTACATGCAGGAGTTCAGCTTCCTTTGGGAAGCTGCTGCAATCATAGGCTCCTTTCTGTGGTTCCAGTTCAGATGGCAGCTGAATGCTCTCATGTCCCACCAGCACCAAGGGCCTGAGAAGAATAGGTCTGGAACTTTGGGAGTTTTCAGTAGGCCAGTCCTTTTGAACTTAAAACCATAAAATCGCTAGGGTTGGAAAAGACCTTGAAGATCATCTAGTCCAACTGCCCGCCTATCCTTATATGTCCACTAAGCACGTCCTTTAATGCCACTTCTATGTGTTTCCTGAATACCTCCAGGGATGGTGACACCACCACCTCCCTGGGCAGCCTGTGCCACTGCCACAATACCAAGAAATTTTTTCTAATGTGTGCCTTGGGATGCTGATGAAAGCTGTTGATGTTCCTCAGCCTGCTGGAGCTCTACTCCTGTCTCACAGTTATACAGGAGAGGCTAATCCCTATCTTCCCACAAACTCCCTTCAGGGAATAATAGGGTAATAGAGTTTCCCCTGAGCCTCCTACTCCCAGTTCCTTCAGCTGCTCCCCCCAAGCCTTGTGCTCCAGGCCTTTCATCAGCTTCACTGCCCTTCTCTGGACACACACCAGGACCTTGATGTCTTTCTTGTAGTGAGGGGCCCAAAACTGAACACATTACTTGAGATGTGGCTTCAACAGTGATGAGTACAGGGGGACAGTCACCTCCCTGCTCCTGCAGGCTACACCATTTCTCTTCTATACAAGCAGAAAAACAAAGGATACATTGCCCTTCTTGGCCACCTAGGCACACTGCTGGCCTATATTCAGCCAGCTGTCAACTAACATCCCCAGATTCTTTTCCTCTGTGCAGCTTTCCAGCTACTCTGCCCCAAGCTGTTGTGATGCATGGGGTTGTTGTGACCAAAGTGCAGGACTCAGCGGTTGGTTCTTAATGGGAAATTCACCTGTAGGTACACAACTGCATGTGGTATGCACAGGCTGGAATCAACATTATTTGTAGCAAAATTCTGCTATGGCATTCACACCAACTCTCTTGGTCTCAAGATGCTGCATGAACCCACCAGCTCACGGCTTTGTAAACCCAGTATCTAATAGGGAGAATGTGCCAGTATGGTATGTGCTAACCTTTCCTTCCATCCTGTTACGTGATGGTACAAAGAATGGTTAGGAAAAACTTCGTAAGGAGTGGTGAGGCAGTGGCACAGGCTGCACAGGGAGCTGGTGGAGTCACTGCTCCTGGAGGTGGTCAAGAACTTTAGAGATGTGGCACCGAGGGACATGGTTAGTGGGCATGGTGGGGATGGGTTGGTGTTTGGGGTATGTGATCTTAGTGGTCTTTTTCTAAGATGATTCTTAATGATTCTGTGATGACAGCTTAAATTGGCACCAAAACCTAAGTGTTGTTTTCTATAAGCAAAATTTGACTTCTAATTTGATTTTTTTTTTTTTTAATAAAAAGCACACCCAAATATATACTTATTTATTTTAGGGTGATGACAGTGCTAGCTGTGAGATGTAGGTCTGCTTTAACCAATAAACACTTCTCCTAAGTGTTTGCAAGTCAAGGACTGCCATGTGTCACCATGACCTGGTTTCATCTGTTGCCTCCCATATATACAGGACTTAAATATGGCTACACACTTTACACAGGAATAGAAAATCTTCCATATTGCTAACAAGTCTAAAGCCTTACATGATTTGAGGTTACGTGTGTCAGGTCAGTTACACTTCACAGATAGAGTAAACCAAAGCACAGAGCTGTCTGTGTAGACACAGCAACCCATCAGAAGCCTGCACTGCAACACAGCTGGTTTAACTTTTGATCTCCTGCCCAGATTGTTATCTGCCAGTATCTCACAGAGCTAAAACCACAGCAGCCTTCTAGCACAGCTACATTAAACCTGGAGATAGCATTGAGCTAGTCAGAAAAAGCTGCCAAGGTTGAGAGATAAAATAAAGGAATGGATCTGGAGAAGTGAGCAATTTGTGTATTGAATGGGATTTTAGCATTGATGTGGAGCTGCCCACGGCTTTTAATGCATTTGGTACTGCTTTGGGTGAATGCACCTTGTTCAGAAAAAAAATTCATTATTTTTGAACTAAACCATTCTCTTCAGCAGCTGTAATACACCTAGTTAAGAATGAAGGCACTTAATTTGAACACTTAATTGAAAGTGATAGCATCACCTCCCAGGGTTCCTTGTGGCAATGTTTTGCAGAGCAGCTGGGGATGCTTTTGCAGTTTGTCACCAGATCCCTGCCCTGAGCAGGGCTTATGAGGCAGCCTCACCCAGTGGGAGACAGAATAACTCAACCCAAGTTCATTGTTGTACAGCAATGCAGCTGCTGTGCAATACTCTGTCCTCACCTTTCAGGTGCATAGGGCAGGAGGGTGTTACAGTGTCACAACCCGTCATACTGCAGCACAGGAATGAGCTGGCGTGGATTGTGATGTACGGAACAAATCAAACTGGGTTCTATAGTTGTGAAAGACTGCCTTGCTTGTGATGTGTGAAGGATCTAGAATGTCCTAAGTCAAACACTGACTGTAGGGAAAACAATGCATCATAGGTTAGGGTTGTTAAGGAATTTATACTTCTAATTATAATCTCTTACTTCAGTGATAATGTTTGCCATACTGTATGCAGGAAGTCAGAGGATTTTACTTGAGTTGTTGCTTTTTCTTTCTGATGGATTCCTGCAGAAAGTGCTTTGAGACTTTCCTCCTTTCTATTTAGATTCCTGCTAAGAGAACCAGCAGAGCAGTTGGCTCTTTCTGTTTCTCTTGAAAACTTGCTGGTGGACTCAGTGGTCAAGGTTGGGATTTGGTATGCTGTCAGGTTAAGCTCCAGGCTTTGTCCCATGTCTTGTTTGTGGCCCTAGCACTGTAGAGCCAGGACTGTGACAAAAAAAACATGCTTCAGTGTTGTGAAAAAAGGGGATTTTACCCTCTGGCGTGTTTCAGTAAGAAAAAAAGACTTCAGCTAAAAACAGAATGTGAGTCTAGATGTAGATGAACATAGTCAAGAAGCAAGTGGATTTGACAGGCCCAATTTAAGGGGTAACTTCTACAACAGGAAACCCAAAGAGGCCTAGAGCTAGGAAACCAGATGACAAAAAGGAAGTGTGCACACAGTTCCATTACTATGCCTACTGTTTCAGTCAGTAGCTGTAGCCTTAAAGCAGTGCTCAGACATCAGTGACCAAAATATAGCACTACCAATATATTTTATCAAGAGTAGTTTTAGTCTTCCCCTATAGATGCTTTGGGAGATCTCTCAGCTGGCAGCTCTTGATGGTGGTGCTGACTGTATACCCCGCCCATCTGGTGAACAGGGCAGGAGCAGTTCTGCTAGATTAAAAACTGAGCTTATCTTCACAAGTCTTCTGCTCTTTCTTTGACAAGACATAGCTAGATACAGCAGCTCCAAGTTTTCTAGAAAGTACACTGCTCTTACACATGTTTTATAATGTTAATTAAGAAGCACTACTTACTGAGTACTGAGCAAGCTCTGGTACCCATGTGAGCTGAAGAGATGATGAACAGTGAGGAAAGAGATAAAGTTTCAGCTTCCTTTTCTGACTTGAGTCTTGCAACACTGGAAAGGTACTGCATCTCGGTTAATATAAGCTTATAATCAAGACAAGAAACATGAAAGGAAAGAGGGCAGCCTACTGAAATGACTGCATGACCAGTGTGGAAAAAGCAGATACCAACATGAGATTTAAAAACAAAAATCTAGATCTTTTCAGAGAAAAGAGAGACTGGGGAGTTAGTTACTTCTAACTGCCAGAGATGTAAGTCAGTCAAAGGGAAAACTTGGAAGTGGCTAACTTGCTTGCCTGCAGATGTAATTCACAAATATGGTCTCACTCCTTTGTTTCTCTTAGAACTGCTTGTCTGATATGTGAACTCATCTTGGACAACAGCTGTGATTTTAGAGGCAGCTGGACACAAGAGGTAGCAGGGAAATTATTTTAGAGTTAAGGCTATTGGAAAACATCTGTACTTCTTTGTACAAGGTTCCTTCTCTGCTAAGCACAAGCCAAGTTATTTTCTGCAGTTCTAACCCTGGGGTGTAAAAAGTCAGCCTCTGCCCTACCTAACAGTAGGTGAGAAACAAAGGAGAGCCTAAGTGCTGCTTTTGGAAGTGGCTACTGCATCTTGGAAGCAGGGGTCAAGCACAGATGTTACTATTACATAAAGATACATCAACAAATACACACTGGAAGACTGAACCAGTGAACCACATTGCTTGAAGAAAGAAAAGGCTTGCTTTGTCACTGCCCTTTGGCTATCAGTTTACATTTATACCCCCTTGACTTTGTAGGAAGCCAGTGGTTCACAGCATCTTACACCAGTGTCCAGAGAGGCCTTAGGTGTACAGTAAATGAATGACACTGCCTTATTCTACAGTGACCTGCATTAATACAGGTATCCAGTACCTCACAACGGTGCAGGAAATTGCACTGCAGTAAAAGATTACAGCATCTAAATTACTTGCAACTAGCAAAGTAACAAAGTGAAGGATGAGCAAGAGAACAGATTTCCATACTGACTGCTTTGTCACAGCATTAGTGAGAATCCACACCTACACAGAAGATGTAATAAGGTATTGGATTAATCAAACTTACCTTGCTTATGGATTAGTTCGCCCTTTTCCAAGAGGTCCTACCTCATCCTCTGCTTAGATGCAGCCTACCTCCCTGAACTGGTATTTTCAATACTGCTGCCTGCAATGTTCTTTGCTCAGACAATGGTACAAATCTTAAAGCTATGGGGATTTGGCTTTGTTAGCACTCTGCTTCAGCTGCCTTTAATCATCTTAACAGATCCTTTCCTCACTGCCTGTAGGTTATTCCATGTGGGAATGCAGCACTATGGCTCAGTTCTTAAACTGATTAGAGTGATTCTTCTCAGGCTCTCCCTTATTCTTCTTCAAGAAGGGCATCTTAATTCTGTCTGCTGTTCAGAATGCCACAAAATACCTCCTTGTCATTCTTCTCATTCCAAATGCATTTGCAAAATGGCTTCCCAGCCTATTTTCATTCTTCTTGAGCATTTGCTACTAGAAGTTGCTTATCAAGGAAGAGAGCACCCAGGTACCACTCAGGCTTTTTGGTGCCATATTCATGCTTTATTTAAAAAAAAAAAAACAACACAGCTACAAGATGCTAAGAAAACTTCAAGTTTACAAAATACTTGCAGCCACTTTAAGAGATCTGATCTCACTTATAAATGAAAACATCACCTGCTGGTTAACTTAATTCAGTTGCAATACATCATCTGAACTTAATCATCCAAAACAATCAGTCATTCTTAAATTCTGTTGATTGTGTGTACAAGAACAATCATCTGTATCACTTTGATTAAAAAAGTCCCTGGGAAAATTTAGAGTTACATGGAAAAGTGTGAGAGGAGAACTTATTAAAGCCCACCTTTGGCTCCTGCAGAAACTGGATGAGCATGCATTCATTCTGGCTTCGCTCTCCCCTGTAAGTGGATTGTAATTCCTCTGCATATTTAAGAGAAGTCTTACTGAAGCTGCTCAGCTCTTTCCAGTGAGGGAAAGAAACTGACAGAACATGAACCTGTATAGTTGCCATCACACAACATCAGTGCTATGTCTTACTAGCTTTATGGAAGCATGTTGTGCAAGTCTCAAGTAGCTTCAAAACACTCCAGAAACAGCCCTTGGTCACTCCTATGAGGTAGGTGCTGTCTTCCCTTCAGAGGAGAAAGAACAGACTTAACTGCTGCCCAGCACACCAGGCACACTGAAAAACATAACTAGCCTACATTAAATGACTTCCCCACTACTTCCCTGAATTCAGAGCTTTCAAATGCAACATTTTGTTTAGCACCATGCATACCAGAAATAAAAACAGCGAATGATGCTTTAGATTGCATCCATTCCAAGATATTCAGCCTACCTGAACTCAGGTGTTCAGCCCACCTGTTTCCAAATAAGCTGAAGTAGGGCCATCCTTACCATGTTTCACTCAACTCCACAGCCTACAACTGAACTATTTTGTAAATAAATGATCAAAGCTTAATCCTTTCATCTGAAAGCTGCCACTCATTTTTCTCAAATTAGATGATATTGGAAAAAAGCTTTTCACAAAGACAGTGTAGTACAGAAGACTACAAGTATTAAAGTACAATTCAGATGTAGCTAATTAATGCTTAGCTATTAGCACAGATGAAACAATGCAGTGCTTTTTTTTTTCCTGACCCCACAGGCAGCCTTGTGAAACCTTCATAATTTCCCTAATTAGTTTATGAAATATAAGAAATGAATTAATAGCTGCCTTTCATACTAGGGCCATAATTTCTTCTGTAGTCTAAAAGCATCTCTTTCCAGTAAGATCTTTCACAGCTCTTACTCCCCATAACCCCACATGAACAGGTGTGTGACAGTGCAACGAACTGGCAAGGAACTCAGCTGATGATAGCATGCTGGATTACACAAGTGCTTGTGCCACCAGAAGTGAAGGGGCAGCACAGACACAAGCAGAACTGCTACTGGCTCCATGTTGGAGTGAATGAAACTATACCCTGCTCAGCTATTTATTGGTATTAAGCAATATTATGTAATGACATTAAATACCACCTATGGCTAAGCTATTTAGTTTCAAAACTGAGTAGAAAATTCAAGTATCAAAATGAAAATGACTACACTCCCAGCCACAATGCAATAACCACTTTCTCTCATTTGTAAGAAGCTGAGTGTAATGGACACACTTGCTAGAAAGAACGTTAAGAGATGCTGAAGTTCAACTCCTACCACACTAGAATGAAGCTTGGTTACAGCAGATAAACACAGTTTTAAACTGCTGCTTCATTTATCACAATAGCAGATCATTAGCTACCGTTCATATGAACTAACAGCTCCCAGCCAGGAAAGTTACTATGAACCACCCAAGGTCAGTGCTAAGTCCTATGATCAGTCTTATTACAACTGTCCAACTGTTAGCTCCTATGCAAGTTGCTGAACTGTTTTCTCTTTCATGCTCAGAACTCAGGCATTTAGATGTTAACTATTAAGTGCAGAGAGGAAAGCTGAAACCTTAAAAATTCTTCTTTCTAATCTAAGCACGATGCTTCAGTCCTATTGCAACTTCTCTGAAGTTCTGTTCAGTGTAAGATATTGAAGGACTAACTTGCTCCAAGACTCCCTCAGAGTTTAGCCCTTACTGATGAAACAGAACTTGGATATCATAAGTTGCTGTCCTGTCTTCTCATCCTCTGCTTTTCCTCTTGAAGCCCCACTTTACCTAGAGCAGCTCAGATCAAGTTATTATTGAGGTGCTTCCAAATCTTGAAATTTTGTGAAAAGTTGAATGCAGTTTAAGATTACCTCTTCCCAGAAGATGGGGGGATGAACCAAAAAGCCCATCTTGATTTCAGCTGAGATGCATAATCCACAAAAAGGAACAAGAAGTAAAATTGCGTATGTCAGCCCCTACAACAGCTATAGATTGTACC